GCTACAGCTATGCTTTAATCGAGTGGTTTCTTGGCTTGGCTGATGAACAAAAGGTTGGCTTCCTATATGACATAGGTTGTACAATGGAGAAGGGAATAGAAAAAGTAAGACACTTTTGATTCAGGAAAGAGCGACGAGCTAACGTAAAATACTACTTCCAGCGCAACATGTTTACCAAAGAGCGACGTCTGGGCCGATTGAAGTTTGGAACTAGTGTATTTCATGCATACGTGCATTGATGGACTTGTCAATTGATGTGGAATCCCAGAATGAATTGCGGATGGGGACTTTCAGATGGAGAAGGCTCAGAGCGAGTCTGGTCTTCTCTGGCCGCCCTGGTTAGCTCTGAGCGATATTCGACTAAACAGCACCGGGTCAATGCCATTGACATGCGAGCAAGCCACCACCGTACACATCTTTGACACTCGGCAGGTATGTCATACTTTCTTCGAACATCATCATCTCATATGTGTAATTAGTCAGCTCTGACACTGGATTCCGTTATTTTCAGCCGTTCACATGAACAGGAAGAGACTTGAGGCTATCAAACGGCTTCAAGAAGCGGAGATTGTGCTAAATGGGATAGCGGAGGCCGAAAGAGAAAAAGATGTTGCTTACTTTGAGGACAAATGGATGGAGCAAAGGACCGGTCAGCTGGATGTGATGACTGAGACTCAGAAAGAAAAGAGAGAGCGTCTCAATGTAATGCTGGGGTTAGAAGAGGAATTGATTCAGGCTCGGTGAGTCGCAGAAGAATTTTGGGAAACACCCGTAGTTAAGTCCTGGTTGTATCTTTCTTTGCAGAGATCGGCTCAAGGCAATTCAACTTCAAGCTCGAAGAGCAAGAACCCAGGCTGATAGGGTTGATCTTATGTCGCTGCCGGCCACAGTGGCCAACCTCGAAGAGCAAATCGAAGCGATGGCCACAGCCCTTGGCGGTGCTGAATTTCGAGAGCTTGCCGGCGCAGTCCGTAAGTTCTCTACTGACTGTTATCAAAGTTCAGAATGCTGATAAAAGTGCGACTCCACTGTCACTATCTGTGCAAACAGGCAATCAAGAAACAGCAGTGCTGGGCTTATCAATAGCGCGCGCAAATCTCTATGAAGCCAAAGTTGGCCTAGTTGAAGCCAGGCTGCGTCGCCATTGGCACACTGGTTATTATTTTTATTTTACTTATATGTCATGGCACACTGTGCTGACTCTTCTTTTGGTTGTTGATTGTAGGAACCCGGGAACAATAACATCTGGCTCGGCATCTGGGTGATAAGACAAAACTGGTTCGTGTCAAGTACAATACATATGCGAGGCAAGTTGGCAAATACGAAAACGATTACCCCGACGCTGTGCAACCCGCATTGCCCGATCTTGCAACGGTCATGGCCATGGAGATGGACGATGTGTTCTGGAATCGTGGCGAGCTTGGTCTCCAAGATGGTGATACAGACAGAGACGGTATCAACAGTTTCTTATCCCGACGGAGCGCTTGCGAGGAGCTAAGACGCATTGCTAGGGAAGCGAGGCAAATGACTGGATGGGCCAATGCTTACTATGATCGCATCCTTGCGCTGGGAAGGAAGGTTAATGAGGGTGAGCTCATGATCTTATAGGACATTGACGACTGACAGGTGCACTAACTTTAGATGATGACCAGCGGTGGGAGCGGTCCGAAGTAGGTTGGTATCTATTTATAGCATTGTCAAAAAAAATGCCATGCAAGCTATGGAAACAATGGAGCCGTGATCTCCCACAGTTCGTCCGCGAAACCGGTGCCTATCTTGAGGCACATCAGTTACAAGACGAAATATTGATACCTGGATTTGAAAGGGTAACCGCTTGGGCGGATCAAGAATG